GGGAGGGAAGTAGCTTGATTTGCTGTGTCTGTGTGTTTGTGGAGACACACAGCATACTAGCACACACAAGGGTGACTGCATAGCATTTTGCTTGAAAAAGTAGTCACTCTAAAACAGGAAGTTAGGACTAGTGATCAGGGGACCAGCTGATTCTGCAGGAAACTAAAGCTTTTAAACATCAAGAAGCAGAATCCATTGTTAGTGATTTAACCAGCATTTGAAATAGCTAAAAATCCTTTTTTATTCTATAGGGTCTTGGCATTCAGAAAATATATAATGTTGGGGGGTTTTACGTCATTTTCAGGCCTAAAATGTGGAATATAACATGGGTGCAAAAAATGAAAAAAGGGCCTCAGTCATGAAGGGGTTAATATCACTAACTTTCTGATTTTAGTAAATTTAAAGTTATTTACAGTTACAGCTGAAAAACAGCAATGACTAGCACACCAGTTTGTTTCACTTGTTATTGCTCCAACAGCAACCAATCTGATTTGATCTTTTATTTTTCCTGTAGTTTATGCTCAATTATGTAACTTTAGGCTGGTGCTTAGAGTTAGCACAGGTAAAGACATGCATTTTTTTCCTGAAACTATTTATTTAGTGGGGATAACGGGACACTGTAAGGGTTAACTGCTCATTTTGATCTAGTGGCTCAAATAAAAACAAATATACTTACCTGATCCTTGATCCCACCTGGCTGCTAGACCTACAACCACTTCCTTCCTGGTCTATGCCCCACTGACATCATCACGTCTAATGCAGGTCATTCACCTGCATTAGATGTGAGAATACCGATGGACATACCATCGCTGAAGTGGAGGATGAGAGTGCTCACTTCCGCAGGACCGAGGATCAGGTGAGTATATCTTCTAAATTCCAGCCCCAAGACCAAAATGAGCAGTTAACCCTGAGCAGTGCGGGAGTAGATCCACTGCACGGGTTAATTTTTTAAATAATGTGTCCAAAGAAAAGTGACAATAGTGCGGTTTGGTCTCTCTTAAAACAAAAATTTATGATCCTGTTACCAGCAACATTTCAGCTCTTCCAGAATGTCATTGCTAGTACCAGCATGGCTTACCCATTGCTCCTGGTGTTATTGTTGGCTCAATACCTTGGAATTTTTCTAAATATCCACCATCAGAAATAGTTACCTATAGTCACAGCACAAGCAATCCTGGAGTATCACAATATTCAAACCTTTTACAGGACCAGCACAACTGGAGAGAATTCAAAACATTAAAATGGATTCACGCAAGTGCTGGATACAGAATAGAATCCAGCACCACTGCTATTGGGGCCATCAAATCACTCTCCTGGCATGGAGGGGGGTCCACTGGGGAAGCCATGTAACACAAAGGCAGATATGGCCTAACTGTTTTGAAAATGCTCCGTCAGCTGTGCTACAATGCTTGACCCTCATGAGCACGTGAGAAATAAGCATAACATATGCAGTAAGCCCATAATCTAACTGCTTGGGAAAGGTCAGTACTACCTACCGGGAGCCTCCTTTTTTCTGCCCTTACAGCCAATGAAAGTCATACATTTTCAGCCCTGAGCATTCCTAACCAAGTCTTAACTGAGCTAAATAACATTTGTTTCAAAATAATGCATTACAGTGACAGTGTGTCTTACCTGTTTCCATTTTGCCATCTTGGGCAGCAGGTCCTTCAGGAATGACACTCTTAACTTGCAGAAACTCGTCAGGCTCATCTCCCCCAATGATGGTAAATCCAAAGCCCATGTTACTTTTCTTTAGTGTAGTGCTTAAAAAAGTCCCTTTCAACTGTGATGCATCTCGTGTAAAAAGCGGCTTTTCTGTTGTAAGAAAAAACTATGTTTCACACATACAGTAACAGTTTTTGCAATGTGAAATGAGTCAGCAGTGAGAGATTAACATCTCAGAGCTGTGACAGAGCAGAGGTAATTACAAAGTTACTACTCCTGCTTTAATATAAATTAGTTGATCTGATCCTCAACTATGAAATTGACCTTTAAAAACACTTACAAATCTGTTTTGTTTATAATATGGGTTTACATACATGACTATGTTTGCAAGTGACTCCAAGGTTTTAAAATGATCCATTGCAAAGCTGAAATCATATGTACCTCTAAACACCTGGGCCTGTATAGGCTGGGTCCCCAATTCTGTTGTGGGCATGTTGTGCTGTTGGAGCTTCCGTTTTGCTTCTAACACTGGATTCTCAAACTGTGTTCTTCTGTTTATGTGACTGTGAAAAACGTAAACATTATTTTACTGAAGTAGATTCCCAACATATACCAGCTACTTCACACAAGACTTCTAAACAGTAAAATAAGTGCACTGAAAATTGAGGAGTTCATGTAAATAAACTGACCAAATAATTTTGGATAATAAAGTAGCAAAAATAATTATTTTAATGTGAAAAGAAAATCTAATTTAAACCAATAGGCAACAGCTCAGCCTTTGCATCTCTTTCCTCTGGCTTTCAGAAATAAGCTGAACATTATCTAGTTGTAAATTATAAATGCAAACACAGATGATAATATTAATCTAAATAATACTATAGAAGTCAAAATAATTAAAGTGCGACTTTTTAGCGTAAAAAGTGGGAAAGGGTTCGAACATTGGTAAGGCTTTAAATGCTGTCTGTGTGCCTTTTGTGTTTTGCCTGACACCTGTCCCCTAGACAGAAGTGAAGTGAAATCTCTCCAAAAAGGGCACAGACAGCAATAAAAAAACAGGCAAAACTTGTCATTTAATAACAGTGTTTTAATGGGTCTATGTCCTCATTGTAGAGATCCGCCTTTAATTCCTTTTCTGACACCCATTGAACAAATAGGACAGTCAGAGACAGGACGGAGACTCAAAAGTTCTTACTCTTCCCCATTCTATTAAAATAATTTAATGGAATTTGGCATGAACAAAATAGATAAAGAAAAGGCTAAAACAGGAAAAATAAAAATAGTTCTAATCACATTTTGTTAGCATTTGATCTGAGGGATCCAGGATAATAATTATACTGTAAAAAGTTTCCTTGCTTATGCAAAGTTCAAGACCTTAAAAGTGTAAGGCAGTGGTGGGATTAGAGAAGCTTCAAAATGGTCCTTATTTAAACTATTATATGCTATTAATTGTGAACACTTTAAAGCACTCTAAGATAAAGGTATTAAGGAAGCACCAATACTAGTATCGGTATTGGTGCCAATTTTCAGGAGTACTCGTATTCCTAAAAATGCCCCGATACCAAAAACCGATAGCAGCACTTTAATTTTTTTAATTGTTTGGCTGCCTAAAGGGCCCACGCTTGCTGGGGACCTTTCGGCAGCCTTCTTGGGAACCATGCGGCGCCTGCTTACAGCGATTCCACCACCTGCACATATCCCCCTGCTGAAACCCCCCACTCCCCTCCTGAGACCCTCTGCCTGAGACATCAGGCTGGTGATCCGGAGCAGAGTGGCAGCACAACGTATGTAGCAAATTCATAAACGATTATTCTGCATTGCTGTATAATGTATTGCTGGGCTTTGTAGACCTCTATAGTTGATGGTATTTTTCTGCATTGCTGTATAATATATTGCTTGGATTTCTAGTGCTTTATAGCTGGTGGTATTCTGAATTGCTGTATAATGTATTCCTGGGATTTGTAGAGCTCTACAGTTGGTGGTATTCTGAATTGTTGTATAATGTATTGCTGATATTTGTAATCCTTTATAGCTGGTGGTATTCTGCTTTGCTATATAATGTATTGCTGAGATTTATAGCCCCGCTACAGCTTGGAGTCAATTGCAGAGCTACCAGGGGCCCAGAGGTTGCAGCTGCGACCGGGCCCTGGCACTTCACCACTGTCTTAAAATTGCTAGTCTGTATTGTAAGGATGCACCGATACCGTTATTTTGTTATTGAGTACGAGTACCGATTTTTTTTCCTGTACTCGCTGATACTGAATATCGATACCAGAAGCTGGCTTCCTGATACAGGAAGTATCGGGCTAGGCATCAGAGCATTTGGGCAGGTACGAGTGCTCGCCCAAATACTCGGCATCTGCACCGATACCGATACTAGTATCGGTATCGGTGCATCCCTACTGTATTGTCACATGACACAAAAAAAATAAGTATTGGTAATTGGTATCGATGAGTACTTGAGCAAAAGTATCGATGCTCGTACTCAGTCTGGAAAAATGGTTTTGGAGCATCCCTAAAATGTATGCTTTAAGTATGAAGACCGGTATGAAATAAATCATGTAATAATAAAACACTCAATTTATTACATTTATTACATTTTAGTTATATTACTGAATATTGATGTGATTTAGCAGTCTGCCCTCACATCTCTGCAACCTTATCTTTAAGAAACATATCCACGGTTGTTCATAATCATACAAAAGCATCTGTGTTGGTTTACAAGGAATCTAGGAGGCAGAACAAACTGTTCTGTAATAAATGTCAATTTACATTTTATGATTAATTACTTTATTTAGCTAGAGGCAATAATGAAGAATGCTAATGCCTATAATGTCCACTCTTAGGCCAAACAAAAAATGTATTTAACTTATTAGGATTTAGAACAATTATGCCATGACCCAAAGTCACTTATCGCTTTAAGGCAGTGCGGTGACAGCATGCATGACAATAGCCTATAACAGCATAATTTAACTTTCGCGAATTTGGAATACTAAGAACTGCTTTTCTACATGAAACTATGTAATCATAATGTCTATACATTTATACAGTGCAAAACACATACAGCTTACTTACTCGACATAGTACGTGCCATAAATGGGATCATCAATTTTCTCCCAGCCATATGGAAGCTCTGAAATAAATATTTTGGAACACATTTAACTGAAATGCCATTGCAGCAGGTTAAAAACAGTGAGTACTAATATCAGCCCTATTTTCCATAACACAAAGAGGTGGTCTGTGGTCCTAACACACTTCTTGATAACATTGTCAAAATGAATTTCTGGCAGGATCAACAGGTATTTTTTTAATTTTTCAAGCAAATGTAACAAAACACTTTCAATGATATGTTTGTCAGAGCAAAAAAAAAAAAGAAGTTTGTTGTAAGAGCATACAAGAGTATATCTATGTAATCCAGAGCGCTCCTTACAGCTATATACCTATGAAATGATGGATGGTGCCATCAGTATAACAGCCTAAAATGCAGAAATATGACCAGATTTATTAGGACATTGTTAGAGTTTACTTTAGATTGCAGTTTATCTGCCAATGCTAAAAATGTGGCTAGTTCATGAGAACATCCCTGGATAAGTTTGAGCTCATTCATCTGAAAGTATGCTGAAGTAATTAGGTTCTGTAAACATTAAACCAGGGCCAATTAGCTTAACATTGTCCTATCAAAGAGTGACTACCAGGAATTGGCAGCTGGAAGTATGTCGGTTTCCAGAGAGTAACCTTTCTTACTACATCATGGCATGATAATCTACAATACTGCTTGTGGTTAGGTTATAAAACTATACTCTACCTCTGCCTTTCACTTTCCTGAGCTTTGAGAGCAGATATTATAGGACTAGGTCAGTTTAAACAATCGTTTGCTTATATTCAGCCTGTCCACAGGCTTTTGCTCCACGTGCCTCGGATTCACTACAGGAAGCTAAAGATGATGTTTATGTTGCATTGTACTGATTTAAGTATTGAATTACAGTACTGGAAACCACAAACTGCTAGAAGCAGGCTTTTCCTACAGTTTCCCCTGTACCCTGTATGATTCCAGCTTGCCAACTGAACTACTGACATCACAGCACCTGTGTTCTATTGAGATCTACGAGTGCCTCTGCTGAGGGGGTGCTTTTTAGCGGTGGATAAATTCATTATATATATATATATATATATTGCATCGATAAGTAAGCTACAAGGCACTGGAATGTACACCCAATGTGAGTGTGTATACATGAAAAAAAACAAAAACTGAATGTGCCGAGCTACAACAATGAGCAAAAAAAACAAACGCATTAAAATAATCTGTGACTCAAACAAATGTCAGTGAATAAATAATATATAAATCATATGTGAAGTATGTAATGTTCATAACTCTGAAGCTATGTCCATATAAAAACAGCAATAGTGATGAATATTTCTTGTTCCTTCACCAAATGCACCACACCAGATGTAGGGGTGCTCAACTTATTGATAGACCCTTAACCAGGGTAGGGAACCCTCGACTCCAATCGCCCACAGATGTCCTCCAATAATGTAATCAAACCAGCAGACAGATCTGTATATAACTTCTTTAGTGGGGAAACAATTACCTCCGATCTTTATTGAACTGTAGGCCTCCTCAGAATAGGATTTCAATACCAGAATCGTGTTATCCAAAAAGAAAAAGAGTATGATTTATGCTCTACTTTGTAGGCATGTTTTATTTGTGAGCTTGTGGGTGATCATGCACATGCACTGATGTGCATTTACTCTGTTAGTATATACAGTACATATATACATATATATGTGTATATACAGTATATACAGTATACACACACACACGTATAGCTTTTTTTTCCCTTGGGGGAATTGCCCAATTTGACCTTTTGTTGGGGTCTATCAAGAAGGTGAGAACCCCTACAACTGGTGCATTTGGTGAAGGAACAAGACATATTCATCACTATTTCTGTTTTTTTATGGACATATCTTCAGAGTTATGAACATTACAGACTTCACATCTGATTTATATATTATTTATTCACTGACATTTGTTTAGGAGTCACAGATTCTTTTATTGTTTTTTAGTATTGCTCATTGTTGTAACTTGGCACATTCAGTACCCCAATCTGACTTTGGCTCTTTTTTAAGTAGCTTTGGCAATGAAACCTTATTTTTTTTTTATCCTTCTATAATAGGCATGAAGAAAGGTACTGATAGCGCACTGAAATAACTTAGCTGACTTCTCTGTGCCAGTTTGCAGGTCCACATGACGATAAGGATCATTATTTTAGCCATATGTCTGTAATGTTCAAATCTCATTAGACTCAAGACTTGACAATAAAAATTCTTATCCTTGTGAGTTTTCTATGTGAATTGAGCCTTATGTGCTCCACTAGTAAAAACTTCAGATCACTGTGGGACACTAAGCAGGCCACAAACGGTGTCTCTATTTTGGCGCAGCGCATCTAATACCCCGTATTTCGGCATGCTGCTATTACTTCACCTCCAGTTTCAGGCTCATTGACTTTGAAAATTCCCAGGTATGATACTCACTGCAACAAAACGAAGATAAAATGGCAGGCTACACATCAGTTGTTATTAATGTGTTCAATTCACGCACTTAGTTATGCAAAATTTTAGTTATACTCATTGTTTGACTTTTATGCCATGAAGCGAAGCAGTTTATTTTTAATGGGTTTAATGTGTGTAGGGACACACATTTTTTTTTGCTAAAATTCCTTTTTGTATTTTTGTGATTTCTGTAGCAAGCAGAGGTCTGTAGTCAGACTATCTGTATCTCAACAGAAATGTTTCTCTAAGCATAGAGTGAATTTTCTTTGCCATATGTTGTTTTAGCTTGCTCCAGCAGGGTGTGCTAGAGGGGTTCCTGTGTTTTATAGATGTTTAATGCCCTAAACAAATAAGTGGGCCTGGGGAACCATCTGCCCCGTGGAAGTAATTTTTGAGGCCCTGTCTCTCTGACCAGGTCTTGGACCTAGGGATGTAGAGATACAGGTATCTTTGCTTCCGTGAGGTATTCCTGAAGGTGTTGGCTGCTAAACAAAAGAGTGTAAGGTTTAGAGGAACTGTCTCCCACATGCAGTTGTAGTGAGTGACTGCTTGAGTGGGAAGTATACACAGGTCATCCTGCCTTGGAAAATAAAAACTAGAACCTCAATTGCCTAGGAGCCAGAGCTGTGTAAGAGTCCAGCCAGCTTAGTCGGTGTATAGAGGGAATCAAGATAGACTTATGGAAAAATCTAGGAGAATAAGGCCTAGCTTGAGGTTTGAGATCTACTGTATTTTTGGGGATATCCTGATCTATATCTCACCCTCTTTCCCATATTGCCATGTTTGAGTGGGAAGTATATACAGGAAACATTCTATGATTTCCTGCCTTGGAAGATAAAAACTGAGAGACACCACTAGAACCACAATTACCAAGGAGCCACAGATTTGTAAGAGTCCAGCCAGCATAGTCTCTGTATAGAGGAAACCAAGCTGGACTTCTATGAAGATCTAGAAGAGAATAAGGCCTTGCTTGAAGTTTGAGAACTACTGTATCTTGGGGATATCCTGATCTATATCTCACCCTCTTCCCCATATTGCCATGCTCAGTAAACTAGTTTTTTTAAAATTTTTGAACAAACTAAAGTGAATAGTGCCAGTTTCTGTAAATCCTAAGCAAAACACCACACCTGAGACTAAATGTTCTTGAGACTTTATTACCAGGTAGAATGTGATTTTCACAATCTAGTCTCTGATGAGCTGAAAGTCACTATTTAGTCACATCTATTGAATATCAGTACAAAAAGCATTACACATATAGTTTCTACAGTTTAAATATTGACTGTTGTAGTTGGTGATAGGGGTTTCTGTGATTTTTGAGGCCGTCAGTAAAAAATGTTCTCCACTTGGCCATGCTTTTCTGTTAGAAAAAGTGTTGCTGTTAAAAAAAAAGCTGTATGATCCTGTGCAAAAACAGGTTACAGTTTGAGCATCCAGGGTTTATACTAATTTCTTCACATATAAGGACAACAATAATAAATGTGTACAAGAGTAAAGAGCTGTCTTAAAAAATAATTGATTCCTTTAACAATGCAGTTCTGGACAATGAGTCCTGGCCTGAATAATCCCTTAATCATTTTCAGAGAAAAAATGATTAGTTCTCTGTTCTGCATTTTTATTAATTACCATGTTTGGCTTTAATGAATTAAAGATCATTGTTTTTCAAAACCTAGCCTGCTAATGGATCTCACATTGAGAAAGCTATTTTGTAGTATGTCTAAACAGCAATTGCAAAGAATTACACTACTCACTATCAATTTCTCTAAAGAAGGCAATTCTAAATTCATGCTCTCTCACCCACAGTAATTACTCCATTTGTATATTATGTAGAAAAAGGTAATAAAATCCCACACGGTTGTTAGCCATTGCATGCAGAATGACTTGAAGTATATATCGTCTATATATAATGCATTTTATTTTATGTTTATATTACAGTATCAATTGTCATTTTTTCAAAGTCAGGTACTCTATATTGGCATCTGATGAAGAATTAAAGAATATAAACAAAGATTTAAAATATAACTGTACCTGAAAACAATGGGTAACTAAACACAAGAAGGCCAATTATCATTTTGGAGGGCCCTGGATAGCATTCACTATGTGTTAAAAAATACTGTATTACAATTTTCAAGCAGAGCAACACAAGGAAGAAGAAAATTAAATTTTCACTCAACAAATTGCATAGTATAATAATGTGTAAACAACTCTAAACTAAGGGCATTCCAGCGATGTGAAAGGTTAGTTATTTGTCTCAAGTGGTATCCACATCACTTTCTTGTGTGCTACAGATCCCCTTATGTGTACTCAAAGCATTTTGTAGCATAATATACTGGTACTGCACCAGAGACAATTTGTAGCATCTCATTACAGTCTTATTAAATAATGTGGAGATATGGATTCTGGTTAGTCAAGGCAAGAGTACACACTAATGCAGGGACGTGTTTTCTAACAGCCTTGCTCTGCTCCATTTTTCTTTTATTTTAGTGTTTTGACTTATACTGTAGAGCATTGACATAGAGATGATCTGTGTGACATCACCTGCCAATTACTTTATTGAGGTAGTGTTAGAGACTTGTGTTAGTGCTT